GCCAGTTTGCCAATGGTTCTATGTGTATCTAGAATATATGAATATGAAGATTTTGACTCAGCAGGTACAAAGATGAACGAATATGTTAAGTACGCTACTTTTATCGTATGTACTTGATTGATGTACCACGTTTACTATAAAACAGCAGGCACGTCCGAGACCAAATATGGTCTTGAACTAACTGATTCCTGGTACAGAATTCGCGCACGCATCGATAGACCTCTTCAACGTGCCATATCGAGATCTAAAATACGAATTGGTTACAAGCTGGAAATATGTGGTGCCAAAGTACATTCTCTGTAAGTGCGATTTTCCATTGGTTTCAACTTGATTAAGTTTTTCCTCTGTTGTATCAACAGATTGAAGGTGGACGGGTTGGAGTGCCGGCTTTGGATGCCTTGAGCTCAAACATATATCTCAAACTTTCGGCCAATTCGACAAAACTAGCTAATTGGGATGCTAAGCTAGGAGTTGGAAAATTTCGCCCGTACGCGTTATTGCGCAGCCTTTCACAGGATGGAGGCTTTGTTTATGCAATTGATGTAGTAGTACTTCGAAAGTATCCGCTGGCCTTTCGTGAAACAATGGATGATGGAACTTTTATCACACGAGATGCAAAGGGCGAAGAAGAAGCAAGGAGGGAATATGAAGTATGTATGACTGTTTTGTCACTTGATAATTGCGAATAACACTAATGAATATGATTCATCACAGAAAAAGGTCAATATGATAATTCAGTCGTCAGAAAACAAATTTGAAGAAATAAACGATGAAGCGGATTCAAAAGAAATGTGTCAAAAACCTTTATCTTTACAAGGTGTGTACAATTTTCTATTTTTCTTTTAGACTTGCGGTTATTTAATAATGTTTCTTTCTAGAATTTCGAGAAATCACTTCCGGTGAAGAGCTTTATATGCTTATCAATAATAATTCCGGAGCCTTCGAGTTCTCCCAAAATTTAAGTCCAAAGCAAATCGAAAGACTCTGTGATTATATACAGAGAAAGGAACAGAAGAGGATATCCAGAATGAACAAATGGATCTGTGAAAAGCTTAAGGTTTTTTTTTTTTTGAACATAAGTAGTTTGCTCTATAAATTCATTAGTTTGACACTCGCGCAAACGGCATCACAAGAATTCAGGAGGTGCCCGTGATGTTGTTCCTTTCTTTAAAGTTCGTGTACGTGATTATCATTCACATTCCGATGAAAATGAAGCACTTATCACTATTTGGAATCCCGATGAGTCATTGATCGACTATATTCAAGAAGGACGACGATATCAGGTAATTCTTAATTATTTTACCACCTAACTTAACATATTCCTGACTATACTTTTATTTTTATTTTTACAAGATACATTCACTGTCAGCAAGCAATTCATTTTCTAATTTTCTGCCTATACGTTTAATGTCGATCGGAAATTCGACTATTTGGAAAGAGGTACCGATAGATGCAAACAAATTTCCATTTTCATATGCGTCGCGAACAATCACCCTTTGTAGCGATCTTGAAGATAAGAAATATAATGAAGAGGTTGATGTGGTAGCATTCATTTTGTGTAAGTGATCAAAAAAAAAATGAAAAATGAAGGTTTTTCGTTAATTCATAAAATTCCTTTATCAGTTGTAGGAGAAATCATCACTAGAGGGAAAAGATTTGGAAAACCCGTTCAAGTGCAAAACTTAATTGCCACAGATACGAGTGGACAGATTATTCAAATCGAAATTAAAAATCTATTTTCAACTAGCATGAACGAAATATTGAAGGTAAATAGGTGTTATTGTATCTATAGCATGGTTTACACTTAAATTAATTATTCAAATGGCCCTTAAATCTGTTTGAAAATAGCCAAAGAACATTCTTGCATTCATCAACTTGCATTATCAAGTGTATGATCCTCGTCATTCGATATTCATTCTATCCACTTGCGATGAAACTGAAATTAAGATATCGCCTCGAGAAGCATATATACGAAAAGCGAGAGAAGATTTGGAAAGCTGGGTCAAGTTTCATTCGGAAACCATTGAAAAATTAGAAGAAAAAGTTATGCGACTGTGTAATCCGTATTTTATCCCACCCCAACCTAGTTTTTCTGATCCTCTATAAATTTGTGATATACTGTATAACGTTACAGCATTGATTCACCGTTTGACTCGATGTATCTTCGAACTCGTTTCTGATCACATAAATGATCTATTTAAAAAATTTGTTGGGAATTTGGCGGACAAGCCAATGTAGTGTCATATATATATATTTATTTATCTAGTAAATTTGTCAAGTAACATGTTACATTTTGTTTAAATAATGCAACAAATAGAAAAAATGTTTGATACTCAAAAATAGATAAATATCATGAGTGTACAACATATTAAAATTTTATACAATTTGATTTATTTACACACAAGAGTAAAAAAATTATATATATATTAATATTTTTTAAATCTTTCCTTAGCTTCAATACATGTCTTTATCCAATTGGACATGCTAATAATTAGCTAACTATAATATTCAAATAGGATTTTATTTTATATCTTTTAACAAAATTATTCAATTTTTTAAAATTAGCTGGTTTTTTTTGTTTGCAATGTATCAATTTTTTCATCTTAGCCCACATGTTTTTTATTGAATTAAAATTAAAGCTTTACAAAGTTAATTTATTATAAATTCAATTTTCAATAATAAAATTTTTATATTGGTTTAACAAAATAAAAAATTTAATTATAATAATACAATATGATTTATAAGTAAGGATTTTAATAATTCTCAGGTTTATATTAAATTTAAGAAATAGGATATAACTCACTATTATATTTAATAGTGTTTTAAACCTCATATAATTTATGCAATTCTGTTCAATTCTAATTTTTGAAATCATATTTATAAGTTTTAAGAATTTTTTAATTTAATATTATTTTTATAATTTAACTAGTTTTAAATTATATATGAAAATTAATAAAAAAAAAATAATAATCTATAGATTAATAATACAGTAATTAATATTTCAAAATTTATAATATCAAAAAATTTTTTAAAAAGTTTCTTATCAATAGTTAACTTATAATCACTAACGATTACATCAGAAACTTTTTTGGTACAAATCTTTAAAGATCTTTGAACATAGACCTCTAGAGGACTTCCGTTATCATTAAAAAACTCTGGCGTACAATTTAATATATTAAACTCTGAAAAGACCTGTGGGTCCATAGTGTAGTGGTTAACACTTCACAGGTCAGATCACAAGATAGCAGTTCAACCCCAGGTGAAGGCGGTTGAACCGAATTAAAAATGGTATCTGGGGCCATAACCTGTTAAGCCCTGTTTCCCATAAGAAGTCATTCGTACGCTAATCCAGTAGGACGTTGGGATTGTGATTCCCAGAAAAGGTGTCGTGGTGCGACGATCATCCGGTTGATGTTATGATGATTGCCAGAAATTGCAAGGTGTATAAAATGTCCACTTTCGACAAGCAGGTTTGGTAATCCTTCCCCTAATATCCAGTGTTTTTCACGCAGATCCCTGCTCTAGTCTCATCCCAATTCAGTAATAAACCGGTCTAGTAATATTTATCCTGAGAAGGCTTCTGGTTATAAGTCCTGTTCCCTGCAATATGTAAGTCAGTGTTCAGGCAGTAAGTACCAGTTATAAGTACCTTGAACGTTCTTAGGTATCATTGGACAGGTAAGAAATTAAATGGTTAGCCCAGCTGCAGGTGGTGGTAAAGGGATTTATCCCCGATGGAGCAAGCAGTGATCATGTAGCTTTATTCGCCATAGATATTACCCCTAGTGCCCCCTTTCAACTTCTCTTTAACTCCTCCCCAGTTAGAAATAAAGCTGTCTGACTACTAGTGAAAATGCATGCTACTGATCCAACAAAGGAGTACCTTTGTCCAGTAGATTAGCCTCTATACCTAATATAATTAGGAACAAGTTATAGTAAACGTCATTATTTGGAGCAATCCCGATAAGTGTTGAATATACTTAACAACTGATATGTTATAGCATAGTCCTAGATAGTAATGTCGAAAGATATATGTAAACATCGTTATTGAATAAATATTCAGCCAGACAATTATCGCTGGTGTACTTTAAAAAAATATATACTGTATATATATATATATAATTATTGATTTATATGAATTCTTAGAAGATCTTTTAATAATAATTTCTATAATATAGTATACTATAGTTTAATATTTATTAATTAAAAAAAAAATTTTTATTTATATTTTGATTTATCTTAAATAATAATAATAATAATAAATAAATAAATAAATAAAATAATATATTTAAATAATATATAGTTTGTAATAAAAAAACTTATACTATATATTAATTTTTATTTTTGTATTATTTTAATAACTAATTGATAAAATAATATAAAAATCTATATTAATATATTTAAGAATATAAAAAACAAGTTTACTTAATAAAGTTTTTAAAATATATTATTAAAATTTTTTTAAATAATTGATTTTAGTTATAATATAAAATAAAAATAATAAAAATTATTAATATATAGGTTTGTTAAATAAAAGTTATAATAATAATAATATATTTTTTTTCAACTAGTGAGGCTTTGCCCAATATACTTTATTTAGTTTACATATATACTTCTTGTTACAAGACTTACTATCTATAAACTATTTTAGATGCATATTTTGCTATATCAATTTGACTCCATATTGGCTTGTTGCTATTGACTTACCTTATAACATTTTATCAAGACTAATATGCCAAGGCTTTATTAGTATTGTTATTGTATAAATTATAAAAGAAATTAAAGTTAATTATATTTTTTTCCCAGTCTAACCAATTTTCTATAAGTTTTTTTTGTAATCTTCTTGCTTCTTTTGTTCTTTCGAATAGAGATCCATGTTATCTTATGTATATATTTTAAGTATCAACTTGAAGTCTTCATTTTTTCTTCACTTTTTCTTTTCTGCTTATGTTTTCTTCTTTTTTTCATTGCTGAAAACTTTTGTATTTATGGATCCAGAGTTTTCAGAGTTCTTTTGTCATTTTGTTTATGACTGTTCTTAATATATTTTTTTGATTTTTTTCCCATTAATTTGTTCCACTAGCTTAGTGAGGTCCTTTTCATAAATTTCATTAATTATGTACCTGATAGTTTTTTCTAAGTCATTGGTGATGGATTTGAGTTGTTTTTTCCAATTTGTACTTCTTTCTTGTGTTTCTATCCTGTTTGCTATTTCTTCTTTTAGTATTTGCAGATATATAGTTCTGATCTCGTTCTTATAATATTTGCTGAACACATGTTCTGTAGTTTCCCATTTATTGCACCAAGGACATATTTTGTTCTTGTATATATTTGGTCTCCTCTTGTTTAGCTTGTCTTTGATGGGAAGCTCTTCATTAAGCAGTTTGTATTTAAATTCTTTATTGTTATAATCTTGTTAATTAGTGTGAAAGCTTGTAATCTTTGATAGTAACAGACTTGCCTATGTTCTTCTCCAGTCTATTATTCTCTTATTACCTGTGCTTAGTCATGCTTTGTATCTTTTTTGTGTTACCCATGTACTGACCCACTTGTTGTTTTGCCATTGCTTCATAAATTTATTGGTTCCTATGTCCAGGTCTTTACCATTCCATTGTAATGTTCTTGTCATTCCTTTTATATATTGGCAGTTTATATCTATGATATGTGTGTGGTCTAACTTATTGACTTCTTTTTTCAGCTTGTCTGTATAGTTATTGTATTTATCCTCTATATGTATTTTGATTTTTTTTAGTATTGTTGTTGCCATCCTATCTTTAATTTTTTTATGAATGAGAGTTGTTGTAAGTATGTTTGTTCCTTTTGCCACCCTTTGCTTTACTGTAGTTTCTGATTGTATTGTCTGAATTGCATACTGGCTGTCTGTGAATATGGTTGCTTCTGTTTTTGAATTGAGAAGTATTATTGCTATCAGTATTGCCATTAACTCTGCTCTTGTAGATGATAGGAATCCTTCACATCTGCCTTTGAATTCTATTTCTTCAAGTGTATTTCTGTTGATAATTATACCTTCTACCTCCATTTTACCTAAATGTTGTTGTATTTTTCTATGGATCCATCTGTATATACTTCTATGAATTTCTAATCTTGTATTTGTTCCTGGATATATTCCAGTTTCTGTAGTATTGGGCTCTGCAGTTTTAGTATCTTTAGATTCGATATGTTTGTTGTTGATTTGCTACTGCTGTTATTAATTTCTACATGAATCATTTTCTCTTCTATTGATATTGAATTGCTTCACACATGTATCTGTCTGATTGAGTTTGATGAGGTTTGTATTCATAGGAGGTTTCCTATTATCTGATTAAAAGGTTTTGAGCTGGTTTTTGTTGTTTTGACTGGAAGTGTAATCACCACCTTTAGCTATATCCTTTTGATACATGTGTTTGTTTTTTCTTCTGTATCCATGTTGCATTCTTTACATTTTCAATTAGTGAGTCATCTGCTATTTGTGTGAAGTGCTGTGCTTTGAATAAGTTTTTCAGAACCTTGACCCATTTGTTTACTTTTTCTATATATATGCTTTGATTGATAATTGCAGAGACGTATCTGTGTTTACAAATGTTTTTTTGGTTTGCCAAATACAGATGGCGAATGTGTTTATTGTTGTTTTAAAAGAAGAGATATTATTATACTCTTGTTGTTAAATAATCTCTTTGAACCTGTTGGGTTTATGTCCTATGTATTTTTTTTCTGTCCTGGTTTTGAAGTGTGTTTATATAATACAATATAAATTGGTAGTATTCATCATTTGTTCCAAGTAAAAGAGATTGTGATTTCTTAGGTTGGTCTTGTTCTTGTCATATTATTCATATGTCATGTTTTTTTCAATTGGTGTTCAATTGTTTTGAAATAAAAGTGATGTCAATTTGTGTGCTGCTGTTGACCTTATCTGGAGATTGTTTAGTTTTAGTATATTTAGAATCTGTGCTGTTAGGTTTTTGTATAAAGCTGTTGTGGTACTGTATTCAATGTACAGGATATATTTAGTGATTCATACCTAATTCTATAGATACTATAACCTTGTTCTTATGATTTGTCCCATAATGTTCATCTCGTTGAGGTCTTGGAGCCATCTCGTAATTATA